ATATTCTTCAATACATTAAATATAGCGAGAATTGAGCTACTTAACATGATAATTGATGAACAAAAGAGAAAATTTGTTTTCTCCATGGCTTAAGTAACAGCATTCACTCTTGAAGGAATCAGTTCTCCAAGCCCAATATAGTTGGAGCTGTTCCTCTTCATTATTTTCTATTTTTATATTTATCTCTTTTCTGTGGGAAAATTATACACAAAATATGATGTTGTGTTTACATATTAAACTGGATAGAGTTAATTTGCTTCTATATTCTTTTCCCTAAGTGGAGACATATATTTTAAGAGTGGGAAAAATACAACATACCTTTTTCTTCATAACATAGATATTATTTTTTTTTTTAATTCTGGTGCTGGTAATTTTATCGTAAAACCAAAGGAAATTTTTCATGGATTTTTGTAGGCTGCTAAGTTTTTTATATTGTCCCCAAAAGTAGCTTCAACTGTCAGTTTCATACTTGGTTTGTTTACAAAATATGCTGGACCTAGGTCAAGTTCTGCTAAGAGGGGTGTGGCTGTTTCCATTGCTTGGCTGCCATTGGGCACGGGTGCTTTGCTGAATTCATAATTTCACTCTTCTTACTTCTCTGACTAGAAATTGAGAGTGATTATGCTTCCAAAAATTCTGTCAACTTACTGAAGGTCTTGAGTTGAATTATTCTATCTTTGCTTATCTGGCATTATTTTTAGCAACCTGGCAAAAGCCCATGTTGAATTCGCCACAGTAATACAGTGTCCTGTAGCCACTCATCAAATAAAACTTAGACAGAAGTGCATTAGAACATCTCTAGTAAAAATTATATTAAAGGATAACAGAAATTAGCATATGTTGAAAATGCATTCAATCAAGATATACTCAACTGAACAAGGATGTATATCAGATGTATGTTAACTGAACTTTTTTGGACTATCCTTTTACTGTGGAATATCTTGGAGACAAGTGTTTTGTGACATGTATTTAGGGAAATGCTCTCTCATTTAAGCCTTTTTCACTTCTGAGATAAGAACATTAACGATCATAGTGTTTGCATAGTTTGCTATGATTATCTAGAGAGGACACTGAATGTGTCTGGGTATTGAACACTCTCCAGTGTCCTGTCTCCTATACTGCATTGTCCCATGTGTTCTGCCCAAGCAGAGCCAGCCAGAGACATATTTTGTCTTCCATTCTGTGGGGAAGAAGAAACCACTCTGGAATTGGTTATCTAGACTTAGTGCCAGCTGTGGCCATGCTGACTCTTCAGTTCCTACCTCAGGCCCTGGGGTAACCATAAGTTACTGGGTATATCTATAAGAACTTGAAATATAAGTTCAAAACTTAGCCATGTGTCTTAGGTTCAAGTCACTCAGCCTCTCTAAGCTCAAGTTCTTCATTCATAAAATGTTGATAGTACCTTGCCTAGTGTATCTAACAGTAGATACATCTGAAAAGTTTGTCTGACAGAGGCAGTGAGTGAGTGAGTGGTTGATATTCTTTGACCACACCTGAAGGAGACCTAAACAGGTTCTGTGCTCTTTTGATGTTGGGGCGTGGTCCCTCTGTTTACTTTAGGATGTGGTGAAAATTTCCTTCAAATTTTGCTAATGGAAAAACTCCCATTTTTAAAACAATTTTATTATTTCTTCTTCTCTTTTCACTGTCTTGGTCTCTTGAGTTCTAGTGACCCTTGTGAGTACCCTATAGTGGCACAGGCTATGTCCTGTTCTTGAGCCATTGACACTTAAATATAAGACCACTTTCTCCTACAAACGTTTATAACCAAATGGCGGAGAGGCCTTCATTTCTTCTACTGCAGTGGTAACAACTGAAAGTGGTTAGTGTGAAAATTTTATTACTTTGTATTTAATTTTTCCCTTTAGCCATTTTTTCCCTATTTGCTGCTATGGAGATCCTTGGACATGTTGAAATTATAGCTCTTTTACATTTCTGCAAGGTACTGTGTGGGTATTTATATTGGGAAGTCCTGTCTTCTCTTTGCAGAAAAGATTTCACAGAACCGTAGCACTTTGCAGAGAGACCATCTTGCCAGCCCAGTGTTACTTGAAAGAGGCACTCCCCAATCGCCCATAAGTCTGTACTCAGTGGTTACTGCTTATGGCACATTTTCAAATGGACCTCCCTGTGGCTGCAGCTGTGATTAAAAGCTGTCTGCTCTCTGACTCACTAGGGGTTTGCTATTTAACCATGTCATGTGCATACACACATACACACACACACACACACACACACACACACCGCTATGTCATGGAAATTATAAAGTGTTTTGTAAAATGAAAACTCAAATGAATACTTTAATGACAAGCTGAATTTTCTAAGCTTCGGTCACTGAGAAGCAAGGGTTGGCAATCTAACCATGTATGAGATGCATAAAAGTAATTTAGGAAAGGAAAGCTAATGGCCGGTGAATACACACCATCGGACAGGACATGCTTCACACACATATTTAAGTGCCAGTGAACTTATCAGCTTCATCTCAGCTCTTCCATGGGATTCAGGATTCAATTCTGACCCTTCACAGCTAAAGCAGGACAATATTCCTTTTTAAGTCTACCCAGATATTCATTGACACATGAATAATCCTGTGCAGCTTACAGGAATGCATTCCAAACAGAAGTTCACCACCAGCACCCCTTAAAAGATATTCAAATAAGCAGGGCAGCCATAGAGATTGGATGTTTCAAAGGGACAAATCATCTCTCCCTTTAGGTTACAGAGTATTCAGCTCTTTAGGAAATAAAATGTTCTAGATTTTAAACCTGGGTTCTTATATTCTGCGACAAATGCAGTGTAAATACCATGAGATAACCAGTGTTGTTCCCTTCCCTGCTCTGCCCAGACTATTCACTGAATCAGAACAAAACACACACACACACACACACACACACACACACACACACACACACACACACACCCCGAGTCTTCTGTAAATGTACAGGGGAGAATTCTGATGAAATTTTGAGAATTGCCTGTCTCCTTTCTGTTTTGTCCGTCTCTCTCCATCCCCCAACGCCAAGTGCTCTAGAATCCAGACACCAGACCCATGCTCTGGGATACTAATCTATCACCGGTAAATTTAGATTGACAATACCGTGGGTCGACCACATTGATTACATTGATTCTATTTCAAATATTTACAATATACTGAGACAAGTCTAATCTATTTTCTAAAGAGTTCAAGGTAGGTATCAGAGTTTCAGAGGGGGTAACAATGGAGAAATGTTTGTGGCTGCTATCTACACTAATCTGATGTTGACAGAGAGTAGTATTTTATTTAGTAATTAACAGTGTAAAGGGCCGAGGAGCTGTCATGTTGGTTCTTAGGCTAGGGAATGTGATGAAAGATGATATCTGCGATCGCATCCTTTCCACTTGTTTAGGATTGTCAGGATGAGAAATGTCAGCATTATGAAAGCTCAGCTCTGCTCTTGATATGATAAAACCCTTCAAAAGCCAGCCTTTCTCTCTCCCTCATCCCCCTCCTTCCTTGCTCTCTCTGCACTTGCTTTTTTATTTATCCTGTTTTGTTAGATGGCAGAAATATAATTCTTTTCTTTCTTCCTATTATAAGCCACCATTTTTGTTTTATTATATGTTTCACAACCCCTAATGCCCCACTGAAAATTACCTTGTTAAATGACAGTGTTTCAAAGCCATGAATCCTTTCCACCATTCCCTCAGAGGTTTGAAACAGTCAACAGACTGTAAAGAATAAATAATAAAAAAGTATTGATTATTTTGATGACTGTGAGATTCAATTAAGTATTAATTTTGCCCTCCAGTGGACCTATCAAGGTATTCAAAAGGGAGGATTCGGCTCAGCTAAATGCGTGCTGAGTGCTTCAGCCTTAAATAGGGAGAAAATGTGTTTACCTACAGTATTTGAAGAAGTGCATTGATGCACAGAGTCCAATATTTAAGTGCTGTGCAAATTAAGCCCTGGTGACAGTGACATTGTTTTCAGTGGTATGAGTATTGACTAAAGAAGTGCATTTGATGACAGCTTAAACTATTTGTATTGATTAACATTTTCATAGATTATCATGTGTCATATCAAATTCACTTTTCAGGCATGAATACATTAAAAAAAAAACCCACAGGCATACCACAACCAATGTGATGATGGGCAGGGGAGCATGCCGCCCCACCTGCTCCTGCACGTCACCTGTTTCCTGCTCAGGAACCATTTAGGCATGAACTTGACAATAAATAGCTCCCAGATCACGAAGGAAAAAGGCAGTTTTTTGCTTTGCTTTGCTTCTGCATCTGATATCTGTACCAAAGCAATCTTAGTTTGCAAGTGGACTAAAGGCTAGATTTGGGGAGTATTTCTCTTCCTAACATGCCCTTCCAAACGAGCTGAAGATAAAGCTGGGCTAAATTATTGGGGAGAAAAGTTTTGCCTTTTTTTTTTTCTGGACGTGATTCTTGATTCCTCTTTCTTTAATGCTCTGGGTGTATGATGCTCTAGGTAGCTGAATTATTGAAAACAGTTTGTAAGTATTTTCCCACTTCCTTAAAAATGTAAAGCAATTTCTGTATATCTTGTTGTGTATTGTTTGCTTTAAAATGTGCATTTCATGGGGGTCATCCTCTACCCCAGTCTGGGACCCATGTAGGGTAGAAAACTTCTAAGTGTGCTCAGAGAATTTACATAAGAAATATCTGTGATTCCAGTGAAAGCTTGGAGCCGTCTTTTTTCTTCCCTGTCTCTTTTTCTCCACTCTTGGGATAGGGTTTAATTGCTTCTCCCCCAGGGAGAAGGCTTCTTAAAATAGTCCCCGTTCCCTCCATAGGGTGCCCCTTCTAAAGAGGTGCGTTGCTGGAGTACAAACCAGCGCTTTCTTTTTTCCCCTTACTGCATTAAAGACAGACAAGGTGTAAAAACATCCTTACAAAAGCACATCCCACAATTAAAGCTGTGTTGGTTAGGCTGCTTGCAAAGAAGTTTTTTTTTTTTTTCCTTCCTTTTTCCTCCGAAGCCTCCTGAATCTCTCACATGCTAGTTGAGCGTTAATAGGGTGGGGAGTAATGGAGAACTCATCGAATCTGTAATAGCTCTTCACTTGACTGCAGCCAGCAATAACAGCAGGAGCAGGCAGAGATAAGAGAGAGGAGAGAGAGGGAGAGTGTGTGTGTGTGTGTGTGTGTGTGGAAGAGAGAGAGGGAGAGGGAGAGAGGACACGCTCTCTAAAGCTGCCACTTTTTTCCTCCCCTTCGCTCTTTCCCCCCATCCTAGGATCCAATGATAGCCGGACAAGTCAGTAAGCCCTCGCTGTCAGTGCGGAGTGAAATGAATGCGGAGTTGAGAGGTGAGGACAAGGCTGCTACTTCAGACAGCGAGCTGAATGAGCCCCTGCTTGCGCCCGTGGAATCAAATGACAGCGAGGACACTCCCAGCAAGCTCTTCGGTAAGTCTGTCTAGGTATTTCATTTCAGTCCTACCATGTTGTCCGGAAGAGCAATCCAGCCACCACCACCCCAGCCCCCCTTTCCTCCTGCTTTTCATTCAATGTTTTTGTAAGTGCTAAAGAGGAGCTGCGCATTCTAGAGGGGCTAAGGCACCCGAGTCTATTCAGCTGGCGGGGAGGATGCCCTCCAAACTTTTTCACCAACAAGGAACTTACTTACTGTCCATTTTGACTTGTCAAGTAGTGTTGCCGTGCCCAGGTTGGAAATTATTCGAACGAAACAGAAGGAGAGACTGAAAAGAAAGAACGAAATGGTAATAATAATCAGGAAATCAGTTCCATTGCGAGAATTGGTTAACATTTATTGAATAAATATCGACTCGGTTTCGGGTTGCTTTGCAGCCTTTTGTTAAGGGGAAGGAGAGTAAAGAGTTATTATCTGTAGTCAAAAGATGAGAGAAGAGAACTGAAAATGTCAATACAAATCGCTCTGTGCCAGGTAAACAAAGGTGGCTGAAGGCATGGCTCTCAGAAACACATTTTTTCGTCACCATCTAATTGAGTATTTCTTCTTTTGAAAAGGGTCGAGGGAACAGAACAGTCTCCTACCCTTCTCCCTACCCCTCTCTCTTTAACGTATTTTAGCCTCATACTAACCATGGCGACAGCCCAGGACCTTTTAGGAATCTGTTTCATAAACAAAATGAGAACAAACAGAGTGCCACTTCAGCAGAGACATCTGTCATTCAAATAGATGACAGTCTGTAAGCCAACTCCAACAACTGTGATCTCTAATCAGAAAGGGGAGCGGGCTGCTGAGGCACGTGCCGGAGTGATGGATGCCGTGAGATGTCTCTGCTGCAGAAGTACTTTATGCTTCTGAGTGACATTAGGTTTCAGAACAGTAGTCTTCCGACACACTTGCTCTTAATTATTTTCCAATGTGTCTGCCTACACACCTGTATACAACTAACCTAGTATAAACAGGCAGAGAACTGCTTGTTTCCAGATTAAAAAACAGTTCCAAGCCTGAAGTTTGGAGTCAAACAACATCAATACATAAAATACTTGGTGAAGAATGTTGATTTAGTTTTAGAATAGCTTTTATTATTTTTATTTTTTATTTTTTTATTTTTTGTAGAGAACAGACAGAGCTTCCTTGGCAGGTAGGTCAATAGTGCTCATCTGCTCCCACAGAGGATAGCCCTCTACTTACAAATGTTCAGGCAAACACCAGAAGGAAATCACAGAAAGAAACTTTGTTTTGGATTTTTCTTTTGGTAACATACTGAATTTTAGGTAAGAACACAACTGATTCCAGTTTTCAGACATCCTATGGTTACTTTTAGTTCAAAAGGCTATTGCTTCTGAAATCAAACCTTCACATCTAGCTTGGGAGGCTTTAGCGTTTCACTCTGAGGAAGTTTTTAGTTGTACTCGAAGTTTTTAGCTGTGTGAAAAGGCATGCCCTGAAACACTCTTTTAGTGTTTAAAAGAAACATTTTCTTTTAAGAGGTTAGTGAGAGAAGTCACATAAAATTATCAGTCACAGGAAGACAAAATCCATGTGCAGTGCTCTGTGATACTGGATATACTGAGTGATGCTTTAGCTTTTCAAAAGCCACTGATCTCAACCCCAGCAAAGCAGCAGATATTAAATCATCTGCCCCAAATGTTTCATGCATTTTTTTTTAAAAAGTAAGAACATTTTGCAGACTTTGGTCTGTGGCTATAAGTTCTCTTCTGTCAGTTGAAGTGATGAGGGGGTGATTGATTGGACATCATATTTGTTGAGATTTTTCGGTGTTGAGAATTGCTTCACATTCTGTACCCCGTTGTACTATTTCTGCATGTACAGTGAAGAAAGCTTTGGAAGACCCAACAGGGCCAAAGAAATTTTATTTAAAGTTCCCCCAAAACATTTTAAGTGGAATCTTTCTGTGATGTCAAAGACTAAGGAGTCAGAGTTTAACTGGAAACTCACAGCGGACTGGGGAGGGCACTTTCCCTGCATCTTGAGATTCTCACTTTCTGAGTATATGACAGTGAGCCCAGCCAACTCCCCACACTCTGCTTGGGGTGTTTCATATTCACTAGCTTGTCTTTATCCTCTAGATTACTTTATAAACACAATATGAATCTTTCCAGCTTTTTCATTAGGCAGAAAAGAAATCAATTGATTTAACAGTCTTAAAAACTTAAGAAAAAAAAAAATGGAGACAGCAGGAGACAGAAACCGTAGGATGTGCCCAGAGATGAGAGCACACACTCACTCGTCTTGTAAGGACGTCCTAGTTATTGGGGTGATTGGACTCTCACTTTTGAATAGTACTAAGACTCAGAATTGGAAATTTTAGTTTACACAACTGTCTAAAACTTTCTGAAGTCATCATCTTGCAGTCTTTCCAACAACTTTGGTGATAAAATTGATGATGCAGGTGTATGCTGTTTTCTATAGTATGTCAATGTTCGGGTCTCCATGTTTTGTTTGTAGACCTAGTTCTAATTGTGTTTTCATTTGATAACAGAGAACTGTGTTGTGCCTGGGTAGTCGGGCTTTTCTCTAAACCAGGGAGGGTCATTCTGCCGTTTCTCTCTGAAGCCATCATGCCTCTACTTTCTATCTTGTAGATGGAGCCTGTGCTTCTTTTATGAAAGGGACAGATCAGGGCAAATCCTGTGCATTTTGGTACGTTTGGTGTCATGGAGAGACATTAGCCAACAGCAGGGGACAGGAAAGGCTTGCTTTTCCTATTGCACCTGAAATTTCAGTATAAATGGATTTCTTCAAAGCTAGTTCACCCATCTGGGTCTCGCTCAAATTAGTAGTCCAGAGGACAGGCCTGTTTCCTTCACAGTACGGCATCTTCAGCCCAAAACTGCTGGAGAAAGGCTAATGCTGATGCCCTCTATGGATAAACAAAGGAAATTCTAGGAACCATTGCGCTTTTTATGCCTCTCCTTAAATTGCACCTCTGTACTTAACATCATCCAAAGGGAAACATACTGTGCAGAATGTTTCGGCGCTCTGAGCCGCTCTGAATGCTAGAAGGAGGAACAAGAAGCCATATGCCAGCCTAAGTAGAAAGTTCAGAAAAGGGCCCTTGTGTTTTATGAAGTAATTACATCAGAGGTAACATTTTGCTTAACTTGAACAGCCATGGAAACTAAAGTACACTTAAGAGAGATAAATCCACATTTCATTGAGAAACATGTGGTGAAGTAGTTCTCTGTGATATCATTAAGTGTGCATTATTTATTCTTATAAAGCCTGTAGAAAACTACCTCCATTTTCAGCTTATGAGCATATTCTCCTAAATTCTGAGCCACAGGAAACAGTGTGGATGGAGAGGGCACAGGCTTGCACGTGGAAGAATTATTAGAGAAACTGGTGCTGGGTCATATAGTGCTCTAGCTGTATGGTCAAATGAGTGATGCCACAGAGGGCCAGTCACCAAATATGGGACTAGTGATGTACTGGAAACTGCACCCCAAACTAGCCTTTGGCAGACAATCTCCAAGGGAAAGGGTTGCTGTGTGTCTCCGGTGACAGTTATATTGCTCATGTCACTGTGGTGCCTCTCTTGTAGTTATGCCCATCAAGCATTCATTGTCCCACATTCAGCAAGCAGGCTGCTAAAATCCGAAAGGTAGTAACCACCACTTGGTCAGGAAAATGACTGCAGAACAGACAAAAGTAATACATATGCCTGGACAAATATCTGCATTCTCAATGGAAGAAGTGAGACCTCCCGAACAGGCCCCAGTTACTTCCTCTGTATATACTTGAGATTTGGAGGGTGATTAAGAACAGTGCTTCCCCTGGGACAATTCTTATTGTTTCAAGTTAAACCCCATGATTGCTTGTATTGAAGTTCCAGCTAGGCCGAGTGGCTGTGCTAGCACTAGTGGCTTTTTTCCCTGTTGTATGTCACAACCATGAGCTGGGTGGACAGCTCAGAGCCTTGAACTGAAAGAGAAACACACCCTGTATGGACAGTGTGTGTGAAATTAAACAAAAACAAAAACAGAACAACAACAAAACCTGTTTGTCTCCTTTAACATTGTGTGGCTTTTTTTTTTTTTTCTGGCTTAGCAAAAATCATGATGATACTCTCAAGAGTGAGCCTTTTCAATATCGTTTATCTGTGAACTATTAGGAAAGGGTTGAAAGCTGGGTCAGTGATTTCTCCATGTTAGGAAAAAGCACTTGTCTGTTTGTTTTCCTTTTCCTTCCACTGAGCTTTGTCCAAAAGCGTGCGTTAGAAAATTTTCTGTTTTTAAATTGCCGCCCAGTTTGACTTGATTAGAATTTATGGCCATGGAGTTATTTTCAATGACAAAAGGATAAAGGACTAAATTGTCTATCACCCCTTGAGACAGTGGTCTCTGCAGGTCAGCAGGGAGGTCACTGCAGGGCATCGTGGGGGTTGTTCTTTGGCAAGGCTGCTTCCTGCCTGTGTGTGCAAGTGGAGGCCTTCGTCATGGGGTCGCTGTCTTCATTACTTTATTTAAACGTCTCTCTCAAGGTTTCAATACCTTAGGTGCTTATAATACTCTGATAAAATATGCTGAAGTCAGTAATCAGCACATAGGGCTTAAGCCCCAGAAGGAGTTAGCTGGAAAATGATGAGGAAATTTCTCTAGAGAAATATAGTCATTTGAAATACGGAACATGCTTCTACATTTGTAAAAGTTGTTATGCTGTATCAATTGAAATTTCATATTCTTTTTTCACTAAAGGAAATGTGTTTTGCTAAAAAATTAAAATATCATATTTGTAAATCAACTAAATAATTTGAACAATATATTCTATGCAAAAACCACTAAACAAAAATCACTAGAAATCTGCATTTATGTAAGTAAATGGGATGCAGGATAAAGTGTTTGCCACAGTTTCTGGTTTAATAGTCAAGCAGGCCTTTGCTCTGCTGCTCTCTGACTAGCAGAGAATGGGAATGCGTACTTAAATATTTTTCTTACATTTGAGGAAATCTGAT